GTACTCGCCTTTAAAGTGGATCTATCAATCTATCCGACTAAGAACCTAAATGAAACATCAACGGCTTATATAAGGGTATCGACACTGCTTCTCCGGATTTGTGACTCGGAATTTAGAGATGGCGGTATATAAGGCGACCAAGCGCCAGTCAAAATTTGTCTTCCACCGCGTTCTCGCTTTTCCTCGTACCGTTTCTTCCTCACCTAAACCACACAAAAATCATCATGTCCAACACCGAGTGGGACTCTAAGCTCGTTATCGGTAACAGGGCCCAAGTAAGGAGACCTGTCGCGATTGCTAGCACTAGCAACTCCGCTTTGAACGGTTAGTCACCAATACTTATCCCATATCAAGGGTACTAAATAGATTTTCTAGCTGTCAGTAACTACCTGCTTCCCCGGATGACCTTATATTGACTCGATAGGATTCTTGAACAGGCCCGCCGTCAAGGCGCTATTGTGTCCGTCGACAAAAAAACCGCAGGAGGAAGCAACAAAGCCCACCAAGGTAAGATAAAGAACACATAAATTGCGTGGTTCTCTGCTAAACAGTCTCGGCCCCTCTAGGCCCCGACCACCAGCGCATTGCTAAGCTTGACCGAGAGAACGAGGTCGCTCCTCCACCAAGGATCAACCCCGCCGTAGGAAGGGCTATGCAAGCCGCCCGTCTGGCTATGCAATTGTCTCAAAAGGATCTTGCGAACAGGATCAATGAGAAGCAATCTGTCCTCCAGGATATCGAAAGTGGCAAAGCCAACGCAAACCCACAAGTCTTGGGCAAGATTGAGCGACAACTCGGAGTCAAACTGCGAGGTGAGAGTTTCGTAGTATTCTCAAACATGGACCTATAACTTATTCGCCGTAGGTAACGATATTGGAAAGAAATTGGAAGGGCCCAAGCGATCTGCTGCATAAGGACTAGGACCTTATTTGCCAGAATTGCTTGGTGGATCCCTTCCATTCACGTCACCCTTCTGTTCAGATCCTCTTACTACGCTGTGCTGCCCATCCCGCTAGAAATTTCTGCTTAATAGAGATCACTTGACCATATACCGGACTCAATCCCTCACTAAAGTCATGTCAATGTCCTGGGTTAAGTCGTTGGAATACAGATACAGGAACTAATGGTACAACCTGGTCATCATCACGATGCCTCAGCGTCGCCGGCTCCCTAAGAGATCCCGTTAGCCTTGTCTCGAATAAACCAAGACATATCCTTACATAAGATATATAGTCCGCACTTTCGCATGCTTTATACTCTTTCAATAGCTCCTCAACCACGGCTCTGCGTATAATGAGATGCTGTTTATTTTGGCTTATTTTGGGACACACCTCGAGTCATCGAATTCTTCATATCCGCCCTCGAAAATCTTCTCCTTTTTATATTGTTCCAAGAAAGCATTCCTCTTTCGTAATCTGTCGTACTGGTCCAGCATACGCTTGAACAGCTGATAGGGCGTAGCATTAGCCATCATTCACGAAGTGTACATTGGTTTGCTTACAGATGCGATGCTAGTATGATTCGCCAACATTAGACCACTGACTCGATGGCTTGCAGGTATATATGGTGACTTGCGCGTCAGTGCGACTTGAATAGAAGCCGGGCCCCAGGGGATGAAGTTAGCCAGCTGTCGTTCACGAATCCTCAGTAGGGATTGGTGCACCTGTACAGTGGCAGATGAGTAATTGATGGACACCGGTCTATACAATGGAAACACTAACATCTGTTGGATCGACATTTCCTTGGATGATATTGAGAATACTGATATAACATGCTGATTTGTTCGGAGTTACGGAGACCATTCGATTCTTGGGTTGTAGGAGACGACGCATGACGTCTAGTACTGTGGTTTTTCTGGTGGATTTGGCCTAGGACATGAACCATCAGGAACAAAATCTACGCCTAAGTCACAAAACATTCACCTGATCAATCTGGTCACCAGTGAAAGGGGTATAGGACGTCATGAGGAAATGACATCGAGGTGTAGGGATCAGAGACGCAACAATGCCGACCAAGTCGTTGTTCATGTAACTGGGATACCGGAGTGTTTGGGTAGAAGCTGCAATAACGGTAGAAACCTGTGAATGCATTATGATCATGAAAATGAATAAGTTTATCACTAACCAGTTGATTTGTTTGATCGAAACTGGGGTTTTGTATGTGCAATCTGTCTGCTGCTATCCGAGACAATGCCCCATTATCCAAAACAACCACGGAGTCCGCATGATCCACAAGTCTTCTAAGCGTGAGTAGAGAGTTGTAAGGTTGGACAACAACATCTGGTTCGGCATGGTTGGGGAACACAGAGTAAGTCTGGATCAACTTCTTCGGGAACCGATCGTTGAGCCTTTCTAGGACGAAGGAACCTAGTCCAGATCCTGTCCCACCGGCGATGGAGTGCATAAGCATGAAGCCCTAAGAGTGAATATGAATATCCGACGTCTCCTCTGGAAGTTATGACGATTCACCTCTAAAGAGTCGCTTCCTTCCGCCTCACGATCAATCATTTCCATCACTTCTTCATATATCTTTTCGCCTGCCCCGTATCCTTGAGCCCAGATGTTGCCTGCGCCACCGCCATCTTTAGAGACGAAGATGTTTTCCGGATTGTACAAGTTTGCAAAAGGGGATGTGAGAATATTGTTGATAACCTGATATTATATGTCAATAGGGCCAATTTTATGTCCACAAAACTGCTTACGCGAGGCTCCAAGTCGACTAAAATCGCTCGAGGGATGTAATGCTCGTCGTCCGCCTGATAGAAGAACACATCCTTTCTATCACCTCCTTCTGTTGCCCATTCTTCAAGAATACCTTCTTTGTTTATGCCGTGTTCTGCACACAAGCGCTGCCAATAAACGGAACCCACTACAAATGGTGGCAGAGACAAAAACGCGTCAATTTCGCGTGTACCATGATACGAAAGGCATTTACAGACTTTGGTTTCCGCATTGTCCGAGTTGAACTGTCACAATCTCACGCGGCATCGCGATGTGGTCTGGCTTCAAGCTCCGATATGGTTTTCGGACAACGCCGAGGAGTCAACAAAAAGAACGAGACGAAAAACATAACAGATTTATTTAGTAGCAGGGACATTTTTAGAATGATTAAATCTACGCTATTCGAATGAAATATGACAGGGCAAGACAATGCATGACAAAGATCCTAGGTATGGCGAATATCGATTATGATTGCTGGATAATGAGCACCGTTAGCCCCTCCAACCTGTTGAACAAGTGTCTCAATGGTAATCTTTTGGCTAACCAGATCCTTGACTCACCAAATGGTCCTTATAGCGATGTGTGGGCTGTACGGCAGCATTAACGTATACGGTAAACTTCCTTTGGACTTTATTAGAACTCATGACGGCTTGTTGTGAAGATTCTTCCTGCGCTTGATCTGGTTCTTCTGGCCAATAGTGTACAATTGCCCCTCGTGCCTCGTGTATATGACCAAAGATATGGATGATTGGGCGAATTTGCTCGACCCTAGAGGCAAGAGCCTTGCAACCGACTAGCTCCCCTGCGTATACTCGGTCAAGGATACGATGTGGCGGGCCATGGGTCAGCCTTTGTGAAAGGTTAGGGTACACCTAGTAAAGGTTGGTTCAAGAAGATGGACGCACAATATGTCCACATCATCTGGTATTTTTCTGGCCAAGTCTGAATTGAATAAGATAAACGGTCGACCTTCCCGTAAACAAAACTTACCCTCGGCCTCAGTCCCTCTATCATAATTGAAGGCCCATCCTGCATACTTCAGATTAGAAAAAGTCAAAAGTTATTGGTAGCAGACCTGACCTCCGAACCAAGGGCTCCCCTTGAATTAAAGGCGAAACGAATTAGACAATCAAATGTATAACTGCCGAGACGACATACTGGGCTACCATAGGCTTTCCAATCAGTCCCTTCG